AATCATATTTTCACCGGACTTTTCGGTTGTCCCGTTCAACCTCCAGATAATCATCTCGATAATACCTCATACAATCATTACTCATTCTTGAGTACTGTAGAGGAAAATTGGAATTTGGGCAATTTGGGCAGAAATGACGTTGATGCGACAGCATTTATTAAATATCTGCAGCATTCTTGACGTTATTATACAGTAATTTAGACTAAATATTGCATTATATTTGAGTATATGTATTGATCTACTTTCGTTTTCAAATGAATTTTTATATATTCTAAATTTAGAATATTTGTATAATCAGAATAAAGATAAAGAGATCATTTTCCTGGCTAAAAATATTTTACTAGATTTGAATAGTGCGGTAATATTTTTAAACAAATTCTAAAATTAGAAAAATCTGCCAATCAACAATTTTATAGAAAATTAAATTTCTTAAGGTGCAGTAACTGCATAGTAACGATATAGTAATTACATAAATACAATTAAACTTAATCGTAGTTACTATGCAGTTACTGCGCCTTAAGAAATTTAAGTTTCAGCATAGAAAATTCCGTTCTTGTCATAGTTAAATCTAATCCTTAACAACGTAATTTTTAGCAAAATTTTTAGAGAAAACTAGGTTTCGATTTTCCCAGCACAAAGCTTCTAGATTCACATAATAACTATAGAATAAGTACTTTTCAATGTTTCTTTAAATACTATCTTTAAAATTGGTTGGTATGGTTGTTAACTGTTAAGGGTAGATTAAAAGCCAATTTTCAAAAAAAAAGGGCAATTTAACTTTTTGGTCTATAATTAATATTTAGATCACCTATATTTAATTTAGATACAAAGTTAAAATTGCGTTCTTACGATTTTTTTATTTTTTTGTTAAATTGTTTAGTGTATTAATAATTTTAAATCATTTTTAAGTTATAGTTATAAAGCCAAATAACAGATTTCAAAGAATGTTTGAGACAGAGATTCTAAAAAAGATAAGGTTTATTTTAAAGATTTTCTCAAGAAACAAATTACCAAATTACAAATAACATAATAAAATAAAATTTATAAATTAAGTGAGAGGAAATATTTATCTCTACGTAAATAGGACTAAATATTGTAAATTTTTGATAACTAGAAAAAAATTACTATGGTTGTACCTTCCTAAGCACGTATTACATAAACACATTTATATATTTTAATTTAAATCTAAATTTGAGAAATTTGTCGAGAGATTTCTACTATATTGATCGGTATATTGATACAAAAAATTCTTTGTATCATATAATTTGCTAGTATAGATGTCTTGTAAATGCGTTTGTATGATTGGTTCTGGTTTAATCTTATTAGCTTCCAAAAATTGATTTTTGATTTCATTATCATCTTTCTGATCTATTTCATCTAACCAACGAGTGATAATTTCAATAATTTCCGTTGCAGTAGGTCGTTTATCAAAATCTTTATCCATACATTTCTCAACTAATTTAATATAACAATCCGGTCCTAAACATTTAGGTCTTGTTCCACCGAGAATTTTTGATATCAGATCATTATTAAACGGAATTCCATCAAATGCTCTTTGGCCGGTTGAAATCTCTGTCGCGATAATTCCAAGACTATAAATATCTGATGCTTTAGTATACAGTTGACCCATTAAAATTTCAGGTGCTATATATGGCAGAATTCCACAAATTTTTCCCTCCGCCACTTTTTTACTGCATCAAAAGTGATAGTTAAAGAAGAAAGACACTTAATGAACTTTCGATTTTTATAAAATCTTTTACGGAAAATAGTAGCACCTATTTTTTTTAAAAAGACTGTAATAATTACGCGATTTTTCGTGTAAGTCTAATCTCATTCGTAACTATCGAAGTCATAATAAATTTCTGACCGGCTTATTTTATTTTTTAAATTTTCGCTTCAATGTTTTTTTTTTTTTTTAATAAATATTTGACTTAATGAATTTTTTTCACACTCGGAACAAGTTCAAAGCTGTAAGAGATTCTGAAATTTCTTTTTTTAAAATAAAAAAACTGTAAAAGCGATTGTAGAAGATCACTGGGTTCTGGTTAGTTTGTCCACAATTTAGTGCTTTTACTTTGTAAACTAATCAGCGACGAGAAATTAAGATCAGGTACTTTTATCTCTGGTAGAATACAGAAAATGATATCTTCGCTGGAAAATATTTTAAAAAAAAAATTTTTAGAAGGCCTATCATTTCGAAAAATTACCAAACACTTAGGTTTAGCATATCATTTATAAGTCGGGTTCTTAAGCACTTTCAAAAATATGGATGTATTGAAAAGCTTCCATCACTTTCAGAACTACATTCACTGAACATGAATGATTCAAAATATTTTAAAACTTTAATGAATAAAAAATATGAATTACTCTGGTTAGCGTTATGCTAATTTGAAGGGCTACGAACCAACTTGTATATACAAATAAAAGTAATATTTATTTATATACAGAATCTTCTTTTAGCATGTACTTCGTGCATTATAAAAGTCTAATTAATATATATAGTGCATTTTTTATATTTCTTGTTAAGACTTAATTGATACATTAAACATCTAACGAAAGTTTAATAATGTTGATATTATTGTTACAACGATCTGTTAAACAGTCATTATGAAATAAAAGTAGCTTTTATTATACGGATCCTGCCAAAATTACAAACTTAATAGAATCGGTTGAAAAATCATTCGGCCAATTTTTATCAGGTGTTCCAGGAATTATGAAAATAGCTATAAAATTTAAATATGAAAATTTAAAAACAAAAAAGACCGGGGCTTAAAAGTTTTATGTTATGAAAACAAGTAATTAAATTTGTATGGCCTTACAAGGTTTTTAAAATACTTGTTTTGCAATATGAATACATTACTCTAGAAAGTAATTACAAAATTGTGTCCCATACATCGGAATTTTAACGTTAGCAGCCCGAAAAAATATCCACTTAAGGCATTTCATATTTGCATAGCCCTATAAAACTAACTATAAAATCGACAAACAAAAAATTGTTCTTTCACAAGAAATGAAAAAATATCAAAGCATATCCCATCAGAATTGCTTAATTTAGTATTTATAGAAATCTAAACAATTGTCTATTAGTAAATCGTAAAAATGTGGTTTCTCTACTTTGGTCTCTTGTCTTCGCTTTTAGTTTGAAAAAAAATCATCGAAAACCCGCACAGAGATTATTGATACTTGTCTTAAATTTATAAATAAAGAGCAACAAACAGATTTATTAAAGTCTGGAATTCATGTTGATGTGCGAAATAAATTAAATATATATTTAATAATGTGCTAAAGTGCGAAATAAATTAGTAAAAATATATACCGTAAATTCTCGAAATAACGCCCAGGGGTAAAATTACGCAATTTGGCCTAAATTAAGCTTAATTCGGGTCAAACCTCCCCATGCCCGCTATTTTGAGAATTTACGGTATATACAAATAAATTTAACAATAAATAAATCAGGAACGGATCAGTTTTTATTTACTTGAGCACATTTTTTAAATACAATTTTTTTTTACAAGATAAAATTACTTTTTTCGTCCAGTGAGCATCATCAAAACGTATCATTTTAATTTAGTAAACCGAATACAGTATTCTAAATATACTGCACACATAATTGACAAATTCTTAATACTTGGCTATCCAAGAATTGCCTTTTAGTTCTATTACTACATGAAACTTCATGCTTTTATTCTATTGATTGAGTTTCGTTGGCAATTCCCTGTATATATCAAATGAAGAAAAAAACTAAACAGATTTAATATCTCTGACATAATTCTAAAACCATAAAAATGTTAGTAACTTTGTAACTTTGACCTGAGTAGCATGCCGCCAAATTTTACTTGTGCAAACAACTCCACTGATAAAATTTCCGAAGCGATATAAGCATTGACACCATAAATACTATCTTCACTATTTACGATCTATGTAAATAAAATATTAAAATATGGTTTTGAATAATACTTTTACGCTAAGTTATTAGAGTTGAAATTTCGCATAACTTCATTCACAAATCTCTTACCATTGCATAAAATTTCAAAATAAAATATAGCGAAACTAAGGTATTAATTATGATTTATACTAACTTAATACTTCTGAAGCTTTTCCTTTCGTTCAATATCTTCTATTTTTAATAGAAACAAGTTACTGCGCGATCCACTATGTCTCCTAAATATTCAAGAGACGGTAAAATGTCGGTATTAATTGTTAAAAAATCACAAAGACTGTATAATGGTTTTCTAATAATCTTTGATACTAAATGATAAACATTTTTAGGACGCAATAAAAAAAGAAAAATTTTTGATGTTAGAAATTCGTAAGAAATAGAAACACTAAAAGCGACAAGAAGCAATAACTTTACTATACATCCCTTTTAAACCATTTTGCATTTCTCTTTCTGGTATTTCGAAAATATTGTTAAAAAACATCACAAAGACTGTATAATGGTTTTCTATTAATTTTAGATGCTAAATGATAACCATTTTTAGAACGCAATAAAAAAAATAAAAATTTTTGATGTTAGAAATTCGCAAGAAATAGAAACACTAAAAGCGACAAGAAACAATAACTTTCCCTTTTAAACGATTTTGCATTTCTCTTTCTGGTATTTCGAAAATTAGATTTGGAAAAATAAAGAGCCGAAATGGTACGAGGAGGATAATTTTTTGGTTTTTTTTTATATAATACGAAGTAGTAATTGATCAAATTTGGTTTGTTGTAAAGTTTACAGTTTAAACGCGTAGAAAAGGTTAAAACAGTATGTCTATTGAAAAAAAAAAATCACAGCAGGTATCCATCTGGTCGAGCGCAACAGACTCCCAGATTACAGTAATAAAGTCCCCACTTACCCAGATGAATGACCTCAGTTTTTTCCCGACCTTCAACTTAATACCTAGCAGACGCTTTTGCGCAAGGGTTACAAGCGAGTAGCCTCGGTTTTTTCTGCTCGAGTAAACCAGCTGTGCTTAATGAAAAAAAATATTGTAATTAGAAGATGTTTAAACAGTATGTCGTTATTGGGAAAAAAAAAAAACACAGCAGGCGTTGAAGCGTATCCATCTGGTCAAACTCATTCTTTATGGACAGACATAACGTCCCCACTTATCCAGACAAATGACCTCAGTTTTTTCCTGACCTTCAACTTAATACCTAGCAGACGCTTTTGCACAGGGGTTACAAGCGAGTAACCTCAGTTTTTTCTGCTCAAGTAAACCAGCTGTGCTTAATGAAAAAAATTATTGTAATTAGAAGATGTTTAAACAGTATGTCATTATTGAAAAAAAAAAACACAGTAGGCATTGAAGCGTATCCATCTGGTCGAACTCATTCTTTATGGACAGACATAACGTCCCCACTTATCCAGACGAATGACCTCAGTTTTTTCTCGACCTTCAACTTAATACCTAGTAGAGTTGGTACCCGAAACCTTTTTGGTCAAATCTGAAAGTTTCAGGTTTCGGATTATAGGTTCCCGAAACCATATCCGAAACTCGAAACCTTCATCGGGAAAATAAATATGGTGCAGATCTGCGCAGATCTGCGACCCTGGAAATTTTTAACAAATTTCCGATCAGAACTTAACGAATCCGGTACCATTCGAACCGTCGCGATGAGACGGATCGAATTATACTGGATTCGTTAAGTTCTGATCGATAGATCATGAGATAATCACATTTAAATGAATTTAGCAGCCACCTCACGATCTTGTTAATCAGTGGTCCAAATTTAATGATTTTGGTGCCATTCGATTCCTCTCGATGAGACGGTTC